CATGAAACTGGATCGAGGATGTGATGAGCTGAATCCAGCATGGCTTGATCTCGAAGTTGTTTGCTGGGATCGGCGGGTAGAGGATGACCGGGCGGATATCAGCAATCCGCGGAGTGTAGTAGTACTCCAAGGTGGGACCCGGCTGCGGTGGATGATGAACTCCATGGTCCTGGGGTATGGGGTTGTTCCCCAGGACCTGATTCACCGGGGGAACCTGCTGTGGATTCCCCTGGTGTTGGTTGTAGTCTCCGTCCATCCCGTGCTCTTCTTCAGAATCGCTGCTCAGGTGGCCGTCTATGCGCTCTTCCGTAGCCAGTCTAGCTAGCTGTTGTCTCCTGAGCTGGCGACAGGTGCGGTCAATCTCTGGATTCAATGGCAGTAAACCTCCCGACTGGCTACGGGTCATGCACTACCTGCACACACTCAAGCAACAAACCCGTGAAGGCACAAGTGGGACAAAGTAAACAAAGTACAAAGAAAAGCTAAATTAACAGAAATCACTTTTCTTCAACAACCTAGCCGTCCCCGGCAACGGCGCAAAAAACTTGACTCGACTCTACTGTCACTCCAGGAATTGGCCAAGTGTAACCACTTCCTAAAGCGTAGTATAGCGGGTTTAGGTTTAATTATCAACCCGGGTCCTAGATTTGCTGACTACTCAGTGAGTTCTTGTTATCTAGCAATAAAACTGGAGTGCAAGTCTAAACTACCAAACAAACAAAGCAAGTAAACTGGTTGTATTCAGGTTAAAGAGGTCACCCGGATATGGTTCCCCCTAGACTGCAGTTAAGCCGGATTGTAATTACCAAGTTCAGTTTCTATGACAGTTATACTGCGGAAGGTTCTTAAACAGCCTGAAGTCTCGACTAAAGGTCTTCAGACCCTCTCAATCTGACTCTCTAGCGGGCGACTAACCTCCACCGGAGTCGACAGATTGAGGCCCTAAGAACAAAACCTCCACTACCGGAGTAAATCCGGTACAGAATAGTGAGTTGGCTCCTCGACTAAAGTCACCAACTCCCTACCTTCAATCAAGGATACTCTATTAACCTAGGCAGATATTCTCATTCTAGGTTAAAGCAGAAACAACAGGAATTTGATCAGGATTCAAGTCATTCAATCATCAAAACCTCAATCGAATATAATCAATCACAGAATCAGTACTTGGGTTCATACAATCAAAGCCTAACATACAAATCTAGGGTTCTCCATACCCAGATGAATGGGAGAACTACTCCATAGAGAAGAAAGCAAAAGCAGAATCACACACGGAATTCATACTGCGAAGGATGGATTCCTGCTTCTGGACGTTGATTGGCACTTCTCCAAGCTCAAGGTGGCCTCCAATGGTGTTGAAGATCAATCTAGGGCACTTGGGAACTCTTGCTCGTCACTTTCTCTCTCTAGGAACTGATCTCTCTCCCCAAAACTCGAATCCCCCCGAATTGTGGCTGAAATTCTGCTTAAAAGGAGAAAATCCCGACTCGCACGGCCAGGGTGCACGGCCGTGCACATCACCATTCTGGCCGTGCACCTCAAAACGCGGCGTATCAATTATTTGAACCTCAGCCAACTCGCACGGCCAGAATTGTATGTTGCACGGCCGTGCGTGGCCACGCACAATCCCGTGCGTGCCCACGCACAATCCCGTGCGGCCAAACTGGTCACTTGCACGGCCGTGCGTGGCCACGCTGGTCTGCCCGTGCAGCTTGCTCAGCCTCTGTTTAATGCTTCGTTTCTCCCTCGTCCGGACTCCGAATCAATCGCCGTTTGATCCCAGACGCTCGTAGTCTCGTCCTCTTTCGTTTCATAACAAGCTTGCATGATTCTTTGTCCATAAAGTGAGGTATAAATCCATTCTTCTTCAGGTCATGCCCGAGTTTCTTCTCTCGAATCGTCAATTGATCTCTGATTGACTTGAAACTTGCGCCTATGCTTCACTTTATGTGCTAGGACCTGAAATGGGACAAAGGAACACAACCTAGCATAAAATAGGCCAAAGACGCAATAATTCAAGCTCAAACAATCAAGAAACAAAGGGGAAAACATGTGCAAATACCGAGTCATCAATTACTAACAAAATTGCTAGCTGAAAGTTAACATATGGCTAATTCTTAGTATTTCAATATGTTTGGCTAATAAAAAAGAATCCGAAAAAGGTTTGGCTAATAAATAGTAATTACCCAACAATTAACTACACTTCTACATTATCACCATAAAATACTAATGATAAGAAATAATATCAATACAACACCCATTGTGAATTCATAATACAAATCCCATTTCCAAATTCCGATACATAAAATAATAAATAATCAACATCTTCATCTAACTAGTGAATACCAACTATCAAACACAAGAACCACAAAATCATCATCATCCACAAATATCTACGAAACAAAGACTACTAGGGTGTGATGCTCGCTTTGTCGATTGCAATGGGGAGTCAGAGAGCTAGGATGACTTTTGGGCTTTGACTCTTAAATAGATTTAAGACTTTGGGTAGAGGGTTGTTTGTAATAAGTGAAAATTGAGATGTCTAGAATTGTCACCTTGGTTGATTTAGAACCTTAAGACTTATTCACTTAGCCAAAAAGCAAAATTATGTGGTTATACTAGTAGGCGGTTATCGATTTTGTTATCGATTTTCTTATCAGTTAGTAGTTAACCGCTAATCAAAATACATCTAACCAAAACCAAACCACTAAGAAATTAGCCGTTATCGGTTAACAATTAATCAACGTTATTGGTGTAACTTGAGCATAGAAAACCCGACACTGTGCAGAAATCCCTAAATCATAGTGACTGGAATGTTGCAATGCAAGACGAGCACAAAATGATTCAGAAGAACCAGATTTGAAATAGGGTTAAGAGGCCAGGTGGAAGAAAGATCCTTGGAACCAAATGGGTTTTCAGAACCAAGTTGAACCGTAATCGATCAGTCAACAGGTTAAAAGAAAGAGTTGTTGTTAAAAGCTATGCTCAACAAAATGGAATTGGCTATGGTAAACCCTTTGCTCCAGTTGCAAGGTTAGACACCATAAAATTGTTGTTTCCCATAGTAGCTCAGAAGAAGTGTAAGGTGCATCAACTTTATGTGAAGTCAACCTTCATTAATGGTTATCTCCATGAGGAGATATACATTGAGCAGCCTGAAGGACTTGAAATTCATAGTAAGGAAGATAATGTTTACCTACTGAAGAAAACTTTGTATGAAATAAAGCAAGCATTAAGAGCTTGGTAATCCAGGATTGATGACTATCTATAATCTATTGAAGCTGGGATTCACCAAAAGTCCAAGTGAACCAACACTCTGTGTTAGAAACGGTGTTGGAGTTGTGATTGTGTCATTATATGTTGATGATTTGCTGATAACATGAAGTAATGTGAAGCAGATATAAGAGTTCAAATTTAGTATTTTGAAGGAGTTTCAAATGACTAATGTTGGACTCATATTCTATTTCCTTGGAATACAAATCAAGCAAAGTGAAGATGAAATTTTCATCAGTCAAGATAAGTATGCCAAAGAGATATTGGGGAAGTTTGGAAAGAAAACTTCCAAGCCTGCTTCAACACCATTACTTGTAGGAGTTTAGCTAACAAAAAAAGATGGAACTGGTTTACTTGAAGTAAAAGTTTACAAGAGTTTGGTTGGATCAATGTTTATTGTATTTGTCAGCTACAAGACTAGACTTTTTTTTTTGCTGCTATTATGCTTGAAATATTCATGTTAGCTACAACTCAGAATCATATGACACAACAAAGAGACGTTTGAGGTTGATCAAATGAACTATAGATCATGGTTTGATATTTAAAGGTGAGAAGGAAGTGAATTTGGTAGGTAACCGTGATAGTGATTAGTTGGTTCTTCAGAAAACATGAAGAGCACTTCTAGTTTCACTTTCACGCTTGGATCATGAGTTTTTTTTTTTGTTGGAGGTATAAAAAACACAACATTATAGCTTAGTCCACTATAGAAGCTGATTACATTGCTGCATATGAAGTTGTGAATCATGTTATTTGGTTAAGGAAGATCATGAAGGATATGAATTTCAAACAAGAGTAGCCAATTGTCACCGAGTGTGATAATCAGTCAGTTGTTGCAATGGCCAAGAATCCAGTGTTCTATGACAGAACCAAACACATCAAGATCAAGTACCATGTTTTAAGGGAACCCGAATATGAAGGTTTGGTTTCTCTTGTTCACTATTCATCCAAAGTCCATTTGCAGACATATTTATCAAGTCACTACCTAATGCCAAAATTGAACAATTGAAGCAATTGATTGGCATGGACAGTGGTCTTGTTCACTATTCATCCAAACTCCATTTGCAGACATATTTATCAAGTCACTACCTAATGCCAAAATTGAACTATTGAAGCAATTGATTGGCATGGACAGTGGACTTAGAAAGGAGGAGTGTTGCAGGTTGAGGTCAGCGTGCTCGAGTTGCAGCTAAAGAAATGTTGTATGTTTCACAAGAAACACTCAAGGCTGAAGGAAGGAAGAATAAGGTTGGCTGGAAGTGAAAACTTGTTGAAGAAGGAGTTGGTTTGAAGTGATTTTTTTGTGTGTGTTCAACCTAGCTATTTTGGGACCACAACTGAGAAAGCTCTTTATGTGTGGTTGGTTTTTCAATTCAATTTTTTGAGTGTTTGGTTCAAGGATTGAAAAATCATATTGTATCGGTGGTTGAAACAGAAAAAACTTTCTACCGGAAGCGAAACCGATAGATGGTATTTAGCGGTATGTAACGATTGAATACGATTTCAGTATAAAATACCATATCACTAAAATTTCCAATGTCCAGTATCGTTTTTCAATATTTGATTTGGGTTGATTTTACTACACTACTTTTTTTAAAGGAATTTCACTACATTACTCAATGTTCTAAATTCATCCATTTTCTCTTTTTGGGTTGTACTTTTTTCAGCACCAAGTTTGTCTTCATTTCCCTAAATGTTGGAGCTTTGTAAACCACATGATTGAGCCCTATAAGCTGAAGGGTGAAATGAAATGAGCTAGGTTTTCAGTTCCACAAATCAAACGAGTTTGTTGCAAAGAGAAGCAAAGGGTGAAAGGGAGCGGCACGGAAAGGTAGCAGAGACAATTTTGATAATGGAGGCGGCGGAAGCCAGAGTGTGCGTGACTGGGGCAGGAGGATATCTTGGATCCTGGCTTCTTCATCTCCTCCTCTCCAAGAACTACACTGTCCATGGAACCGTCAGAGACCCCTGTAATAAAAAAAAAAAAAAACACTGACTCACCTCCTCCTTCGCTTCTTGTTTCCCCTTTTTTGTGTGCCTCTCAATAAATAATGATATCTAATCCCTGCATTATAAAATCTGATAGGCTTCTGCCCAATTTGATGGATTGTTTTCTATAACCTCTTGTCATGCAGCTGATGCTAAGTACGGTCACTTGAAGGAACTTCCTAACTCCTCCAATCTCAAGCTCGTCAAAGCGGAATTGCTAGATTACAACTCCATCTATTCAGCTGTTGAAGGATGCAGCGGAGTGTTTCATGTTGCCAGTCCTGTTCCCTCTGCCTCCGTATCCAATCCTGAGGCAAAGCTGATTTTATCATTTTCCCATTACATTGATAGAAACAACGGGGTTGATATAATATTATAATACAATGGTGCACTCTTAATGGGCTATTTCCAGGCCGAGGTAATTGAGCCAGCGGTTGGTGGTACCCTGAATGTACTCAAAGCATGTGTTGAAGCAAAGGTGAAGAGGGTTGTTTTTGTTTCATCTGGAACTGCAGTTTCCATGAACCCCAGTTGGCCCAAGGATCAAGTAATGGATGAGACTTGTTGGTCTGATAAGGACTACTGCAGATCCATTCAGGTAGTTTGCATCGAGAAATCCCCCTCTCCTTTACACTTTTGTTTATGAATTTGTTCCGGTGCAGAACTGGTACCGTCTCTCCAAGACAGAAGCTGAGGGTCGAGCTTTTGAGTTTGCTGAAGCCAATGGCCTCGACTTGGTAAGTGTTTGTCCCACTTTTATCTTGGGGCCAATCCTGCAACCTGCTGTGAATGCAAGTAGTCTTGTTCTCCTTAGGCTTCTCAAAGGTACTGAACTTGAACCCTGTTAGTGGACTATAGCCTTGATATGTAAAAGGTTTGTGATTTGTGAAATTCAACTGACTGGGGACATACATGAACTGCGCGGTACACACAAGGGCATGACTCGACGGGTAACCAGTGTCGAACCATGGTGGATGTTCGCGATGTAGCTGAAGCATTGCTTCTGGCATATGAGAATGCTGAGACGCTGGGGAGATACATATGTGCAGCTCATATGATATCAACCCAGGAGATGGTTGAGATACTCAAGGGCTTGTATCCCAACTACAAATACCCTGAAAGGTGAATGCACTGAAAACTATATACTCGTGGGTTCACTGTCAATATGCTCTAAGATGGCTAATTTACTGTCTACCATAGTATTCTTATCAGCCTTTGGCAACTTACTTTAGAATGGGGAGGATGTTGGCTTGAGCCTCGTATATTTATGTCTGTCGTCGACCAATGTGGACTGCAGCTTCAACACGGGAGCAGAGAGGGTGGAGCTGAGTTCCCAAAAGTTGCAGAGACTTGGATGGAGTTACCGTCCAGTGCAAGAAACGCTTGTGGACTCTGTGGAAAGTTACAGAAAGGCTGGAATCTTGGATTAATTTTAAGACGCCACAACGCCATCTCGACGGCGGCACGCTAGCACTTCTTAGACTTCTTGTGGTAGTTTTCATTGGTCGATATCACTGAAGATGGTAGCTATCGTCCCCAAATGGACAATTGCAGATAGAGTTCTCGAAACAGAGTCCAATGTGAGTATCTCGTTTGATGTACCCAGTTTGTACTTTGTAATATTGGCTGACTTGTAGTTGTAATTCCACTTACTAATAATCCGACTGCCTTGTAACTTTACTGAACCGCAGTTCGATTGAACCGCAATTCGAACAATATGATTGATTCGAATGAATTATGAAAACTAAAACCTAAATGTGATTTCAACTAATGGTTCGCATTGTTAAAAATGAATTGATCTACAAATCTTTAATAATAATCTCTAGCATGTGATTTCATTCTACTAAGCGGGCAAAGTTCACTTCTGCCTCTGCCAACTGGTTCCATCCTCCATCGTGAGTTTTCTAGCATGAAATTGTCATGGGTTGGGCTCCCCGATGACTATTCCCACGCATGGTGGAGCTGTGTCTCGATTTTCACCTTCTCTTAACTTTCTCAACGAAACGAAGCATGGTGACAAATCCGCCAAGGGGAAGCTTTCGAGACTAGGGTATAAAGAGACTCGTCTACTAATTAGGGATGGCAATGGGGCGGGTTCGGGGCGGGTTTGCTTAAACCATACCCATCTTCAAATACCCAAACCCATACCCGCCCCATACCCATGCGGGGGAATGTTTTTCAAACTCATCCCCATACCCGTGGGTTTCGGGTACCCATGGGTAATACCCATACCCGTACATCCAACATTATTATACCTATAACTTACAAGAAAAGTTCTAATTATAACTCCAAACGAACATATTATATCATGAAGTCAACAAAACACAGTCATTTTTTTAATATGGTTCAAAGATTATGATCCTAAAATATCCATTAATACATAATATAGAGTATAATATTTTTCAAATTATTATGTTCTAACTCTGATACATCTACTAAATAATAATTAACTAACATAATCTTGTTGACAAGGGGGAAAGTGAAAGAGTGAAATGAGAATTGAGAGAAATGAATTAGATTTTGATTAAGGTGGTCACTCAATTGCATTTCTACTATTTATTTTCTCAAGTTATCCTCATCATCATTGATAGATTATAATTTGATGCACATATTTTTTTTTATATATGAAGAAATTATCTTGGTGGGCGGGTATGGGGATGGGTATGGGGCGGGGGAGGCTAAAACCATACCCGCCTCATACCCATCAAACTTTTTGCGGGTTTTACCCATACCCGCCCCATACCCGATCAAAGCGAAGATTCCCCGCATTGACTGGGTCGGGGGCGGTCGGATACCCGCGGCCATGGGTTTGATTGCCATCCCTACTACTAATGCTGTCAATAGAGGTAGTGGTCTAATAGTTGCTCGGAAATCTAGTATTGCTTGAATAGTTATTTCATTTGCTTCATTTCATTGCTTAGTCGAGTGTAAGGTGGCTTCCTTAGGGTCATCAGTTGTCTTGTTTGTCCATTTAGATAGTGATGTCGTTCAATATAGTCAAAATCACGTTTTTAAACTAAAAAACTTACGATTTTACGTTTCTAGTTCACTAAAACGCTTCTACACAAAAACTTAGTTTTTACAACTTACGCAGTTAAAAACTCCGCTTTAAAACTTAAAAGCTTACGATTTTACGCTTCTAGATCACCAAAACGTTTCTACGTAGAAACTCGCTTTTGACTACATTGATGTCGTTGTTAGAATGAAATCAATTTTATACTTTCACCCTATTCGATTCATGTATTTGTAGTTGAGGACTTTAATTGCCTCCTAAGTTCATATGAGAATCCCAACTTAATACGTTGGGTTAATAGTTGTAGTCAACTTTTCAATTTATTGGACAAATTTGGCCCGACGTTTGGGCTGACCATCAATGCTAACGGTCAAACATTCCCATCGTTGATGACTCAGCAAAAAACTGTTTAGACTGCTTCTCCACCCTCACCCTGATCCCAGTCTTAACAACATATGTGGGATCTTCCCTAACAACCCCATCACCTCCAACTCCACATCCGGCGAACTCGTAGCCAACGTCGTTTCCCTTAACTCCATCGTCGGGTCCAACAAAATCAACGAACGGAGACAACTTCACCATCGACGTCCTTGACACCGGGATCTGCGAGACTAGCAAAGACTCCCACGCCGCAGCTTGTAATTGAAAGCAAGGGTTGCAAGGAAGGAAAGAAGATTCGACAGGTGATGGATCCTAATTGACAGGAGGTTGATCTAGTTTGCCAGTGCTTTTGTGATGATTTAATGAGTGCATAACTTGGTGGGAGATTCTTCTGGGGACGATTCGTCTCCAGGCATCATCATTCATCACGTCCTACCCACAACTAGGGGAGATTGGGGTCGTCAGAGAGAATTTCGATGAAGCTTTGCATGTGTTCTACCCTCCAATGTGTCACCCCTAGGAGGAAGAATTAGTCTCGGTGAGACAGAGAAGAGAGAGAGGGAAAGAGTAAAGTTGTTATTGATCTCCAAGATGAATACAACGGTCTTGGGGGAGGGGGGGGGGGAGGAGGGGTTTCTTATACAAGTTGGCAAATATCAAAATACCCAACTCTTCTTCCTATTACATCCTCAAACTTCTATCTATTTACATTTAAGGACATCCGTTACAACTCCCCACTCCTACAGCCCAAGCTTGTCTTCAAGCTTGAAAGTCTGGAAATCTGATGTGAAACTCCGGCCATGGTTCCCACGTAGCATCCTCCTCCAGCTGATGAGACTAGTGCACAAGAACCTGAGTCAAAGGTTTGTTATCTTGGGCCAGCAGTCGAGCCAGAATAGCAACATGAGCCAACTTTAAAGCCCCCTGATCATCAATATCAGGCAATGTAGGTTGAACTTGTAAAGAATCGCGCAACCTGGCCTGCTTCAAGAGGGAAACATGGAAAACAGGATGAATAGCTGATCCGGCAGGCAACTTTAGTTTATAGGCCACTGCCCCTATCTTCTTTTCAATTGGAAATGGGACAAAGAACTTGGGAGCGAGCTTCTGATTCATTCGACTGGAAACTGTAGTCTGATGATAAGGTCTGAGCTTGAGGAACACCAAGTCACCCTCCTGAAATGCCCTCTCTGTACAATGAGCATCTGCCATACGTTTTTGCTTGTTCTGAGCTTTAGCCATATTAGTCCTCAAAATACCAAACAGTCTATGTGGTTGTTGAAGCCTATCAACCACTGCAACCAATGAGGTGGAAAGAGGATTCTGTAGAGAAAATTGGGAAGGGGGATAGCCATAGAGGGCCTGGAAGGGAGAAGCTGAAGACTGCTGAGGACAGTGATGTACCATACCCCTGAGGTATTCCTCCGGACAACAATTCAGTCTCTCTGTCTGACCATATGTCTGAGGATGGTAGGCAGTAGAGTAGTGCAATTGGACACATTGTAACTCGAATAATGTAGACCAGGAAGCACTTGTAAAAATTGCATCTATGTCATAAATAATAGTAGCAGGCATGCCAGGTAGTTTAAACACTCCATCAAAGAACACATGTGCAACTGTTATGCCTGTGTAAGGCTTTGTCAACCCAAAGAAATGTCCATACTTAGAGAATCGATCTATCACCACTAACACTACACCTTGCCTTTAGAACTAGGTAGCCCCTCAATAAAATCCATGGAAATATGTTTCCAAGCCTGATCTGGAATAGGTAAAGGCTGTAGCAGGCCTGGATATGACACATTCTCCACTTTACACATCTGACATACCTCACAGTGTTGAATATAATCCTTCAATTCAATTTTTAGACCAGCCCACCAAAAATACATTTTTATTCTCTAATATCTGGCTTGTAACCCTGAATAACCTCCCACATGAGAATCATGAAACAACTGCAATAACTGATTCCTCATATTCCCACTCAGACCAACATAGATAGCAACTTTATGGTAAAGTAGACTCTAGTGAATCCAATAAAGCCTTGGATCAATGCTAGGTACAACAGCTTCCACGAATAGGTTCTGCACTTCAGTATCCCCAACATAGGAAGATTCCAACTCAGAAAGCCAAGCTGGTAGCACAACAGTAATTGGTCTGCATTCACCTTGATTAACCATAGCAGTAGCAAAGTCAGGATGTCTAGACAAGGCATCAGCCACTTGATTAAACTTGCCCTGTCTATACTGGATCTCAAAATCCAATCCCAGAAGCTTAACCAGTCCTTCCTTTTGTATTTGAGTGTGAATCTTCTGACCCAACAAATGTTTGAGACTTTCATGATCTGTAACAATCTTAAACTGTCTTCTTTCCAAATAATGGCCCCATTTAGCCGCAACTAAGATGACTGCCAACTATTCCTTCTCATAAGTAGAGAGACCTTGCTTCCAAGGCCCTAAGGCCTGACTATGATATGCCAAGGGTCTACCATCTTGAGACTGAACCGCACCTACCCCAACTTCACTTTCATCAGTCTCCAACGGGAATGGTTTGTTGAAATCTGGAAGAGCTAACATAGGAGCTTGAACAATAGCAGCCTTAAGAGATTCAAAAGCCTCATGAGCCTTGTCTGGCCATTTGAAACAATACTTCTTCATTAATTCTGTTAGAGGTTTGCCAATAATACCATAGTTCCTTACAAATTTCCTGTAATACCCTATTAATCCAAGTAAACCTCGCAACTCTTTCACATTCTTTGGTACTGGCCAAGCAACCATGGCTTCTATCTTGGCTGGATCAGTAGTCGCCCCTTGCTGATTAATGATGTATCCCAGATAATCAATCTGAGTTTGCCCAAAAGATCATTTAGAAGGCTTAGCAAAGAGTGTATTCTCTCTTAAGATAGTTAAGGTGGCTGCCAAATGTTGTTTATGAGTCTCCTTATCAGTGTTGTATATGGGAATATCGTTAAAGAAAACCAAAATAAATTGTCTGAGGTAAGGGGCAAAAATCTGGTTCATTAAATCCTGAAAAGTAGCTAGTGCATTAGCAACCCAAATGGTGTAACTCTAAACTCGTAGTGGCCTTGGTATGTTCTGAATGCAGTCTTGTGTTGATCCAAAGGGTGCATACGAATCTGATGGTAACAAGATAGTAAGTCAAACAAATCATCAATAACTGGTATAGTAAACTTATCCTTAACAGTCAGATCATTCAACTTCCTATAATCTACACAGAACCTCTATGAGCCATCTTTTTTAAGCACAAGTAAAACTGGTGAAAAAAAGGACTCTTGGTAGGCTGGATGTATTGTGACTCCATCATTTCCTTGACCAACCTATCCATCTCATTCTTCTAAGGTATAGAATAATGATATGGCCTGAGATTTACTAGGTTGGAATTAGGTGATACAATCAAAGTCGCACAACTCCAAGCAATTCGAACCAAAAGAACCAGATAGGATGGAAATCAATAAGACAATACTCACTCGTGAATAAGGGCAATCGATATATGAATCGATCGGACAGATTTAGCTCGGGATAAAGGGAAATCGATATGGGTAGCTCGCCACAACTAGGGTGAATACCTAGCTGATAAGAGTCGCTCTAACACTCCAGAATCCTCAATAGAGTAATTAGGGAAAAAGTCCTCAAGGGAACTCGGCAATAGCCTATGTAATTCAATAATAATCGTCTTGGCTCCAAACCAACAAGTTCAACCCTTTAAATAGGCTTCAAACAACCCAAATCTGAAAATAATAAGGAAAACATCAAAGTAAACCGACTTAAGAAAAAACAACCCGTTAAGCCCGCTTATTGCATTCTGCCGTCTCTTCCAGACTTTCTTCTTCCTCCACTCGAATCATCATATAAGGCCTTCCTCTAAGCAACTCACGTCCATAGATCCAAAATGATTCTCCAAATAAGTTGTGAGCTTCTCTTCAATGCTCTTATCTTAGCACGTCTGACTGGCCCTTGGATGCCCTCATAAGCCCCTCCTTCTTCAAAAGGATTTGCCCTCAAATCCGAATTACCATCCAAGTAAGGTGCAAGGTCAGCAACTTTGAACGTGTCACTTACTCCATACTCTCCCGGCAAATCGATCTTAGAGGCATTGCTTCCCACCTTCGAAACCACTTGGAAAGGACCATCACAACGAGGCATCAACTTCGATTTCCTTTGTTGCGGAAATCTCTCCTTCCTCAAGTGCACCCATACCCAATCTCCAACTTCAAAGTGCCTCGGTTTCCTGTGCTTGTTCACATTCTTCATAATCTGCTCAGTTCTCCTCTCAATGTTCAACCTAGCCTTCTCGTGGAAGCTATTCACGAACTCCACCTTCTTTGCTCCATCGAGGTTGACTTGATCTTTCAAGGGTAATGGCATCAAATCCAATGGAGTGAGAGGATTGAAACCATACATGAGCTCAAATAGAGAGAACTTTGTTGTCGAGTGTACCATCCTGTTGTAAGCAAAGTCCACGTGGGGTAGGTAGTCTTCCCAAACCTTGATATTACTTCTGATCACAGCTCGAAGCATCTGTGATAGAGTTTGATTGACCACCTCTGTTTGCCCATCAGTTTAAGGATGACATGTACTGGAAAATAGTAGCTTTGTTCCCAGTTTGCTCCACAATATCTTCCAAAAGTAACTCAGAAACTTAGTATCTCGATCGGATACTATAGAACGTGGCATCCCATGCAATCGTACTACCTCCCTGAAAAACAAATCAACCACGTTAACTGCTCCACCACCACAAAAATTGAATCTCTTCCCTTCCTAGTTCGCGGCAAACCAAGCACAAAATCCATAAAGATGTCGATCCATGGAGCATATGGAATCGGCAGTGGTGTGTAAAATCTAGATGATTGCACCTTCGGTTTGGCTTGCTTGCACTCCACACAGATTCTCCATGTCTCCCTTCATGTGAGGCCAGTAGAAGTGTTCTTGTAGGCAGCTCAACGTCTTGTCTACACCACAATTTTCCATAAGACCTCCTCCATGAGCTTCCTTCAATAACAACTCCCGAAGTGATGCACGAGGAATGCATAGCTGATTAGCTCGAAACAGATAGCCTTCACTTCGATAATACTTCCCATCTCCATGATGCTCACAAGCCTTATCAATCTCCACAAAGTCAGCATCATCAACATAGAGGTCCTTAATGTGCTCGAATCCCAAGTACCTGCCCCCATCGTAGTGATCAATGTATGCCTTTGAGATAGGGCATCAACAACTACATTCTCCTTGCCCTGCTTGTACTGGATCACATATGGTAAGGATTCAATGAATTCAAACCATCAAGCATGTCTCTTATTCAGCTTGTTTTGAGCCTTCATATACTTGAACGACTCGTGATCAGTGTGAATCACGAACTCCTTCGGCCATAGATAATTCTGCCACGTCTCCAAGGCTCAACTAAAGCGTAGAGTTCCTTGTCGTATGTAGGATAGTTGAGGGAAGCCTCACTTAACTTCTCACTGAAGTCCGCAATAGGCCTCTTCTCTTGCATCAACACTGCTCCAATACCCAAACTAGAAGCATCACACTCCATTTCAAATGTATTATTCAAATCGGGTAACATCATAATAGGAGCATGCGTGAGTTTGTGCTTGAGTAGCTCGAATGCTTTGGTCTGCTCTTCTCCCCAATAAAAGTCATGTTCTTCTTGATGATGGATGTCAATGGTGTGACAATGGTACTGAAATTGGGCACAAATCGTCGATAGAATCCAGCTAACCCGTGAAAGCTTCGCACTTCATTCACATTGGTAGGAGTAGGCCATTCTCGAATTGCATTCACCTTCTCTTCATCCACCTTGAATCCATCTGCACTCACCACAAAACCAAGAAAAATAACACTAAAGGTGCAAAATGTGCACTTCTTGAGGTTAGCAAATGATTTCTCATTTCTCAGCGTCGCCAAAACCTCTCTCAAATGATTGAGATGATCCTCCATGCACTTCGAGTAGATCAAAATGTCTTTGAAGTAGGCAACCACGAACTTGCCAATGAAAGGCCTCAAAACATGGTTCATCAACCTCATGAACGTGCTAGGAGCATTGTTAAACCAAAGGGCATCACCATCCATTCGTATAGACCATGTTTGGTCTTGAAGGCCGTAACACCCTACCCTATACGTTTTGCCTAATCATATTGTTCATACAATTGCAGCGGAATTAATCTCGGGTGTTACATTAACTATCAAAATTTACCCAAATAAAATTTCGACATGAATTACTCGCGTAATGGGCTAAAAGTTCTTGCAACTTATCCTGCAAAATAATTCATCACAAACATATATACTCACAACCATATGCATTGGCTTTTCTTAGCCATAGTCACACTTTTCATACTCCACAACTGCATACCATACTTATACATACCATAATCGTCACAACTTACACGGTTACACAAAATATACACATATCATCAACTTTCCACACCTGTGGAAATCTCACACTACATCAGAAGCTGGTATGCACATGAAAAACGTTCTCAAAACATTTTTACAAAAAGGTGTGGATCACTGGCCAAAATCCCGAGTAGTAGTCCAAGCACAGAATAGTTGAAGACCATACCTCATCCTAGCTTCAACTCTAGCTCCTCTCCCACCTAACACTTATCTACTGCTGCTGCTGATGATCTGCTTACACATAGCACAAGCAGAGAAGAAGAATAAAAGAGGGCCAGCTCATAGCTGAGTGAGATAATCATAGCATCGTGAGCTCATAACAGAGCATACCCCTACCACACATCTAACAATCAAGCCAAAACACTAGGATGAGACCTCAGCCATCCGACATCCCAATAGGCAAAAGACTCAACCACCTTGACTTATGCATATGCATCTTATCATGTTTTAATCATAGGCTCCTGGCTACTCCCATGCTAATTACTCTCCCGGGAATACGGACCAAACATCTCTTGGATGTGGTCATATCATATCGGACCCACCACTGCCGATGTAGTCATATCGGACCTGACACCACGCTGGGTGTGGTCATATCTCATGATGAATCAACGGTCAACACTACATCAGGGGTGTGACATAACATATCATAACGGAGTAATAGCATGGGGAGCCCTAATTACTATGTAATTGACCATGAGATCAAATCACTCTTATTTGGTAATCTTACACATGATCCATATCTCATCTTGCTTAATCATAATTCATTACTTGCACATGTACTTGACTTGGCCACAATTGACTCAACGTAGGTAAATCAGGAGTTGTATAATTGCACTTCCTCGGGATAAACCCACGTGCAAGTCATCCTCCTTAAACATCATAATATCACCAGGGAATATAGATTTTCCCATATGTGCATCCAAATACAACAATCATGAAAAATCATACCCAATCACCTTTTCGAACCATCATAAGGCATATCAACAGTCAAGCCCACAATTTTCAACATATACGAAATCATCAGTATAAACATGGTCCATCTCGATTAGGGCAAGTCAATAATATCATACAGTAGTCCATGGTTCATCATATAGCACAAAAGTTCATACACCCTTAATCATGCCATTCTAGTTCACCTAGGTCAATTCTAAGCATCAATATAATTATCATGATACGACAAACCCAGTATGCCGTGCTAATCCCTCACCAGTTCTAGTCGTTCAAACACCGGTTTTTGCCTCTTATACTTAAACGTCAATTTCACGAACGAACCCCGAATTAAAATCCGAGACCGTCCTAATATCCCCTGCAGTATCCCCATCAATATTAGTTCTAGGCTCCTTCTTGATAAAAACACATCAAACCCTGGCCGGAGCTAAATTCAGCGATCCCAGCTCTGATCTAAATAATAGCCGAAATTCATGGATTAGAACTAGAGGATTGATTACCTCGCTGCAGGAAGCTCGTATATGAAATTTGGGCTCAATCCGGCTTCCGGATACTCCAAAACCCTAATTTGGCTTATCGGGAATTCAAGAAATTCCTGAACCAAAAACTCGTTTTAAAGCTCTAAATCGATAAATCACGATGTATAAATGAATTAGGCATTACTTACAGGATTTTTGGATTACTAATGCTCAAGAATCAAGCTCTGGCATGCTCTTGCCAAAGTTCACCTGCGCGCTCTGCTTCTCGGCAATAAAAGGAAGAAGAAGAATTGGATGGGAATGGAAATGGACCAGCGGAATTATATGGACAATATATATATATATATGATGACTTCTACGGTGCCCAGGGAAAAATCCGGGTACGGGTACCTTGGCCGATCTTAACCATTCGTTTTCAATCTCCACGGCTCACGTTTGTTAAACCTTCCTGCGCCACTAAATAACTAAACAAATTACAAAATGGCTCCTTCCGCATTAAGTTTTTTTCATCCTAGTCCAACTAACTGGCCCGATTAAATTAAATGGATTAAGACCGCAAACCCAATTGGGTAGACCCACTGCCGCCCTAACCAATTTCCAGTCTCCCTAACCAATTACACGATCCCTCTCTCGTCTTGGAGGGATGCCCTCCCCATCCAATTTTAACTCCCCAACTTAATCATCTTTTTGAATCCCAATTACTTGCATCCACATTCGACGTAGATTGAATTTCCCAATTTATTTTGTCTTGTTTCTTCTTCGCCATTTTATTTCCCCTCGCCTATCTCTTTCTAACACGATTACGGCGACCATGTCTATTATTGTGTTCATCAAACTTTTCATTTGCAAAAGAACCCTTGAAAGAGGTTTGCTAACCCTAGGGTTTATGTCGCTAGTGCTTTGTCATCTTGTCTTAGCGTTATTGTGATTTTCTCGAACCTTATATCTCTCGGTGAAATTTAGGTTTCCTGATATGTAGTGTTCGTCTCGCCCAGAGGATTGAGGAAGAAGATGAAGAACACATAATTTGATTCGAAACGGATAGAGAGGTCTCCTTAGTTTGTGTTTATGTATTAACGGTGCGTTTAGGAGTAATTCTAGTTGGACTGGGTCTGACCATTGATTTTTGCAGGCTTTTAAATAACATTCAAACGTGGGCTTGTACATGACCCATGCAATATTCAAAAGTGGACCTGGAACGTGCGAGCCCATTTATTTTCTCCTGCCGTATCAATTCGTGCGCCAACCCTAGTTTAACTAGCTTTACTTACCCTAGTTTAACCTACACGAGTTAACATCGTCATTACTATATATCTTCCGAAATCTTCTAACTCTTGACATTCCAGACTCAACCGTCTCCATCACACTCACGTCTCCACACTCAACCCCCACGATCACTTTTTCTTACACCTACATACTCTCTTTCCTCCATCTTCACCTTCCCTTGTTCCTTCTTCCTCTAGACTCCATGGCAAACAAAGGTAAATCGTTTGCGGAAATGGGGATACTATCTCTATCAAACGAAGACTGTCGATCCACCGCAAGTCTCGGTGACTATCTTTCATTTACAAGCAAGACAACAATCGTGGCCGAGTACGAGTTCATCCACCTAAGTCCTTTCCATCAAGAAGTGAAGAAGTTAATTAAAAATCTTGGCTGGGAAAAGTTCTTTGATCTCCGGAGTCGAGGAAGCACCAGTTACTGCCCGCATGTGGTGAGGAAGTTCAACCACAATTTAGAGCTGTCTGGTCCTTGTGATTCTCATCTCGTGTCGATCTTCCTGGGACATAGAGTCTGCTTCCAGCCTCATCAGTTTGCTAAGATCCTCGATCTCCCCGCCGCAGGACACCCCATTGATAGCAGAAGCGATCTTGGGCGGTTGTACGATTTTGAGTTTGAAGTTGAACTGGCGAAACTGACGAAGGGGCGCATCCAGGCTTCTTTCCTCCCAGATCCTCTTCGATTCCTCCACTAGATGATCGTCAACTGCTTCATGCCAAGGTACCGTGGTCATTCGATTATTCGTAAACTTGACCTGTTTATCCTTGTGCAAGCTCAAAGAGGTGTTCCTGTTAACCTCGCATCTCTCATGTGCCTGAACATGGTTGAGGCTGCTCCTAGAGGGGAAAACTGGTACACTGCCTTTCTATATGCCACCTTCTTGACCACCTTTCTTGAAAGGGTTGGGATGGATATGGGGGTTTATGTTAAGGAGGACCAGTGCGCCTATTTGCCAGTGTACCGTATCGCCGAATTGACCAATACTTTTATTGACCTTCGGCATTCGGAGCATGAAGAGACCCCTGAGGCATCCTCAAGCAAACGTCCTCGGCTTACATGAGAGTCGATTGATGCAGGGCGGGGTGGAGCGTTGGAGCGGCAAAGGGGCCAACAATGGATGTCTTTTGTTAAGAAGTTTACTAAGGCTTTGTTGGTGTTTTTTTTCCAGTCTTTTTCTCCAGCACTCAACACTGTCAGGTACTGAGGGGAGCCAGTACATCATCTGACTAGGAAAGTCTCCCATTTTTTAATTGTCCAGACAAATATTTTTCTATGCATGCAGTATTTTGTGAATTTGCCATGGCTAATTTCCCTAAGACAGGTGACGAGATGCAGTAATGGTCATCTCCAATGGTGCAATTTTTGTGACTTGCAAGATGATGTGGCAAGGAGGTGCAATTGCATCCTACACTTGCTATGATGTGAGAAGCTATTGCAAGGGTGCAAATTTGCTTGCAATTGAAATTGGCCCACAAGTGGGGACTATTGATGAAATTGTAATGTTTTCTCAAAATTATAGAAGTGGAAGTAGGGACTACCTATGAAATTGCAAATGAATTTCATTGGGGGAGATTTTAATCTGCTTTTGTTCTAAGCAGTTCCAATTAGGTCGAAGAATGTGTTACTTATTTCATCTTCATTTTTAATCGTTTTCGAAAATTATGGTTTTATTTATTTTTGGCACAAGTATAGTGACGATGATAGGCGTGAATAGTATGGATATGGCTTGATTATAATGATTTTTTATCTATGGTGATTTTTTCCCTTTTTCATCAAGACTCATGCTTCTTTTATTCCCCCTGTGAATCTACCATGCTTCGTTTATAGTAAAATACCCTTTTAATTATACACAATAAAGAATCCATTAATTATGTATGCCTTTTTATTGTATTTATTACTACAATGAATTCTCTCACTAAAAGGGGAGTGAAAACATCGTTGGTGGAAATTCAAGGAATGGAAGCCTTTCCATATCCTAGGAATATTAAATGAATTACATAAGAATTTTCTATCTGCCTTGTACGAGGTTTGGTCATTAATTAAACTGATTGGGAGCCAATCAATTTTATCTTTTGGGTTACCTATACATGAATGCAAATTTAATTAGACGATTGGGAGCCAATCAGTTTAACTATACATGATCCCAATTAAACCTCTCTACAAGATACAATGGCTTGAAGCCTTGAACAGAAGCAACCTCACTCACAAGTTGGAAGCTGGAATTTTGGTGAAGTCCCTTTGCCATTTCCACGAAAAAACAAACCAAACCAAACCAATTAACCAAACCAAATATAGAAAGCATTCACAATACCAAAAACCAAATATAGAAAGCATTCACCAAACCAAACACCAAATATAGAAAGCATTCACCAAACCAAAAACCAAATATAGAAAGCATTCACCAAACCAAACCAAAAACCAAATATAAAAAGCATTCACCAAACCAAAAACCAAATATAAAAACCAAAAATAAAAAGCATTCACCGAACCAAACCAAAAACGGTTGTCCATCATCCTGAGAAAAAAAAAACATAACAGTTGTCCATCATCTTGAAAACTAAAACGCAAAATCAGGTTGTCCTTGGGTTCGTTGACTGGGTTTCCTTGTGCTCTTCTCTTTTCTTTTTCCTCCTTTCATGGGCTTTCTTGTACTCTTCCACTGCAGCTTCAACTTGAGGTGCAACTGTTCTTGCTTCCGTGAGCACCATATGCTTTATGTAGTTCATGGGCTCTCGAACAAGGTACAAAGCGATCTGCATCCTCCTCACTTGAGTTCATGACTATCAACATCAACAAACATGGTGCTTAACGCATGATTCAAAAATAACAATCAATTGTGGTTTTCTAATATGCGAATTAGAATTGTCTTTACCCAAATATAAGATGAGTCCCAGCTTGCGCCATACATCCACATGCATACCCAGACTCCACTGTCAGACTTACATAAAATAAAAGCATTGCGTGATAAGAACCAAGTTGATAAGTCGTCGTTTAATATCACAAAAAATGGGCATACTTACCGATGAAGTTCATGATCCTTTGAAGGATTTGGGTACGAAAACTCCGCAATCCTTGGTGGCGACAATCCCGGACCTTGTTCACGATAGAGAATCTTCCATAAGGCTTGCATATATCTCATCTGTACAAATTAAGAAACATTTGTACTTAGAAAGAGGTATTTACATTTTTTTGCGTTATAACGGCACAATGTCACAATTTTACCATTGTTTGAACAGATTGTAGTCGAAAGGAATTACGGTCTTCATTTGGTTGTGGATCCAAGATATGGACTTCTTCCTTGTCCAACTTAATGACAGCCAAGTACCAATGGGCATTATCTCTCATTGGAACACACACCTTCATATGCGGAAATTGTCAACACGTATTAAAAAAATAAACTGCAAACCATGTAATACTTATTAAGACGAACAGTTTACCTTGTTCACCATATTGGTATAGGTCTAATGCCCTCTTGGGTGTTATTCCACATGAAATCACTAGTTCCTGCCCATGTGGTAGTTGCACAATTGAAATTTTGTCAACACAATATGATTCACATTAAAAAAACATGTGTTGTATTTTTTTTGGTGAGAGGAAATTGTCATTAAGCATAATCGGACCACAACCTGTAGTTCAGCAGGCAGATAGCACACTCCTTTTCCTTCCTTAGAATTTGTCCACAACTCTTCTAGAGTCAAGTGGTAGGCCATCGCTGTTATAACCTAATATAACATGGACAAAAAACACTTCATGATACTATCGAGTTGTTATAAAATAATTGTACGTAGAAAGCATTGACAGTGGACAAACAAAACAAAATTTTGGAGTTCCGTTGATTACTTCAGCATCTACGAATGAGCGAGGGCTTAAGGACCACAATGACTTCCTGGTACAAGAGTTGTTTGAGGTTTTGACCAATACTTCGTCAGGTGGCAGATTGGCTAAAAATATATAGTGAGCAAGCTGAATTTGCTCTCATCATCGTATTCCATAGCGGTAGGTAGCTTAAACTTCAAAACAACCTGGAATAGGGGCCACAAATAAACACGAGTCGAAATGCATCCGTTATAACGGAATAACGGCAAAGAACACTTCAATGGAAAACATGACACCTTTATTACCTTGTCAACAGAAGGTAGACAAATACCTTTTCCATTTGGCTTCTTTGGTGTGACCTCAGAGTCAGATTCATCGTCCGAAATAAAAACGATGACTAAAGCAGGAGTGGGTGGAGTGCTTACACCTTTGGGTATCCTTGATTTCTTTGTTGGAGTCACAAATTCGGCGGTATCCTTCAATGACAGTGAACCTACGATTAATAAATTACCTTTGGGTATCTAGTGAGTGCTTCAAGATTGCTCGTGAGGGAATTCAATCATTATGTGAAAAGTTGGACATGGTGGACACTGGCAACGTGGACATACCCGGCATTAATAGACCGAAGGCGAATGAAATTTTGTTGGATCCATTACAGGTCAAAGCTAAAGGTTCGGGGGCTAAAAAATCTAAAAGGAAGAAAGGAGAACCACGACAGTGTAGCAATTACGGTGAATGGCGCCACTATAGGACCCGATGCCCACATCCTGTTGGCTATGTGAAGCCAACCTCAAACGGTGATGCCCAGAATGATAGTGTTTCGGAAGAAGGTGGCGGTCGCGATGACACCGATGTTGATCCTCCCACCACTCAAGATCAGTCGGAAACAGTACCTAAGAGAAGGCAAAAGCATTGCAGTAAGTGCGGTTCTACCAATCATAATGCAAGAACGTGTACTGGGTCTGGGCCATCCGATGATGAAAATGACGATGACGATGATTACGAGCAACCTAGGGTAAGAATAAAATATGATTGTTCGTGTCTACACAATGCAGTTGCATCCAATATTTTTGTACGTCTAAAATCGTTGTTATCGATTTTGCAGAAGAGGCCTGTTACAAGAAGTAGCAACCTAAGGAGTGTTGAAAACTTGAAGTGAAGATGGAAGTCCTTATCCTATTCGGATTAGGACTAATGGACTATGTGAAGACTGTTGCCGTCTGCGGTGTCGTTTTACTTATGTGTCGTTTTATTTATGTGTCTCTTTGGGTTATAAGAAGACTACTGCCTTCTACGGTGTCGTTTTATTTAGTTTGGATGGATTTGATTGAATTCGATATGGAGGTTGCTCCCTAAATAAATCATGTGCAACATTTCAGTTGAATTATTTTCCTCACTCGTTTTTTTATTGAATTATTAAATCGGATTTTTTACTTGTTTATAAAGTTACTTAATTTTGGCTACTAAAATTATGAAATATAATTTGGGCGTGAAATGACAAGAGCATGCGACGACAGAGGACCAGAGTTCGAAATCCGAAAAAAATACTGTTGGCCCGATCGTATAAGACTTCTGAAAATGGAGGCAGTAATCAAGAAATAAACTACAGTATTTTTATTGAGTGAAAGATCCCTCGTACAAATCTTGAAAAACAATACAATGTACTTTCCCTCCTCCCACTTTTATACTATACATATGACAACTTTCCCCTCTTGTATATATTTTCGGAGCATGATCAACATGTACGCGTCAATATCGCACAAAAGAACCATCATATGACGTAGGGTTCCACAACACCAATTATGGAATCGTAACAACATATGATGATTCTTTCGGCAATATTCAGACGGCGACTTATTGTCATTGCTCCGCTCCCTGCCTCTAACAAAGACCCTGCATGGAGAGAAAAGGAGAAACAATACAACGAAGGATTTAGTTTAACAGTCATGATCTAACAATGACATAATGAAAGGAACTGAGATCTAAAATAATACGCAGTCTCAGCATTACCACTGCACCCGAAAATAAAGCATGGGACAGGAGGACGAAGAGGCGGATGGGGTTAATTTTCAGAGTTTCATATTGAGAAGATGGGAGAAAGGGGTCTTTTCAGGGATTGAGAGGAGGAGGAACGAACAACAGCAGGAGATGAGTGCCTCTCGGGTTTCGGAGCATGGTCTCTCCCTCTCTGATTAAAGAATTTACAAATGAGCTCATAAAATTACTTTGCCTTTCCAGCCCTTCCCATTTACAGAAAATCACACTTCCTACCGCTGCCTCGGCCTTGGTAACGTCAGCACTGGTTAGGGGCAAATGCGACTTTCCGAAAACGGCGATATCTGATTGGGTGACATGTCGCGATTAGGATTGAAGCTCTTTCACCATCGGATTAAAGGAAAAGTTTAGGAATTGACGGCGGGAGATGGGGATGTGCTTTTAGACTGGCTTTGTAGATTAACTAACTTTTTCGTTTACCAAAATTAATCTAGTGATTTGGTACATGTTATTGTAACCCTAAACCCTAAACCCTAATACCCGAACCAATCAATACCATATACTCTACAACAATAACACCTTATAGGCTTATACCCGAACCAATCCATCCCATTGCTTATTTAGTGGAATCCTAGGTGGCACCATTATTTAGCAAGATTGCAATGCCACCTAGGATATTTTTTCTAAACTAGCAAGATTGCTAAATTAGGAATTCTTCTTGCAATGCCAAAACGTAATACACGAACCAATCAATACCATA